TTCCTATATTTTAATCATGTAAATCACTTTGCATTGTCTTTGTACTGAATTGTGCTATATGAATAAATTTGCCTTGCCTTGCCTTGGGCAAAAGGTTGGGGACACTTGCAGCACTTAATGTGCATTGATATAAATTGTATCACCAGTCATTAAAATATGTGCTATGATTTAATGGTTTCCTAACAGCGAAATGAATCCATTATCAATATGGGCTTAGATGCCATTATACCTATAGAACCCTCTAATACAAGTATCATCTAATGAAGTAACTGCAAAGTTAAAAACTAATCAACAGGAATGTCTAAAAATTGACTATTTTGGGAGTAAATTTTTTATTTTGTCCAAGAACTTAGAAAAAAATTTGAAAAAACTAACCTTTTGGCCTCTGTGTAAATTATAATATCATCTGCATAGTATGTGATCATATGTGGATCTATGGAACTTGGCCCTAACCCAAGATTATAAGTAGAAAAAAAAGTGTGTCCCAGGATTGACCCTTGAGGAACACCTGGATCTGCTGCATCGTTGTTGTTACATATTTACTCATTGGGCTCTCCTAGTTAGCTAGTTTGAGCATAAGCTAATCTCAGTCATTGCTAAGAAGAAGGTTTTCCAAAATGTCTGCTTCTTTTCCACAGCACTCTAGGATGTGGCTTAGTGTAAGCAGAGTGACACGGCCTGAAAGAGAAGACAAACAAAATGTTGTGTTGAGTCTAATGCAAAGCCAAAACTTTTTTGAGGTCTCTGTGAGTTTGATCCCAATGATTGTCTGATAATTTCCCCTCAGACGCTTGATGGAGGGCTCAACGTCGTCCAGCTGGAGACGGCCGTCGGAGCGGCGATCAAATGCTTCGACAACGCCCTGGGAATAAATGTTCCCCGCAGCCGCTTCCTTCCGGTCAAGACCACGTCTGACCTGCTGCTGGTCATGTCTAACCTCTACAGCCTGGATGCCGGCTCCCTCACCATGAGCCCCAAACGAGAGTTCCCAACGACGCCTCACGTCAAACTGGGCAGCTCCTTCACCAAGGTGGGACCAGAAAGACTCCTGCTGTTGAAGATGTTTTTGGATTTGATTCCTTTTTTAATTTTATATGAGATTTCTCCATAAAATGCAGTTTTAGAAGTGCGTTAGATGTGTCTGGTACTGAGATAATGTATAATAAGTCATAGTTGGAGATGAATAACTGCTTCATCATTTAAACCATAAAGATAAGCTCCAGATAAACACACTTTTTCTCCTTCAGGTTCAGGAGTACCTGACCCGCTTTGAGAGCATCCCTGACATGCTGGAGCTGGACCACCTGACCGTCTCTGGAGACGTCACATTTGGGAAGAACGTCTCGCTGAAGGTAAACCTCCTAAAGAGCCGAAAAACATTCCCACTCTCTGTGTGTCTGAGGGGATTGTGTTCGCCTTAATCAACTGTAAAGAATTTCTGCAGTGTTTTAA